GTTGACGAGACACGAGTAGAAATTACCGAATCAAGACAGAATTTGGGACGCAACCACATTCATGGATCCATTTTTATATCATTACACTAGTACAGATTCAGGGTAGTGGGTACACTTGAGGGTACAAGGTCCACATCAAAGTAGTAGGTCCACACCAGGGTAGTATGTTCACATTCGGACAGTTTGTCCACATGATGATACTAGGTCCAACTCAGGGTACTAGGTGAGCATCAGGGTAGTAGAACGAACGAACCAACGTTTTCAAAGGGTTACAAATTAGGCACACAGGCATGCAGGCCTTCCAAACACGCATTTTTCACACAGCAGTTGTATTTTATCAATAAACATGTTATGTTTATAAAACGATATACATGCTGTGAATAGAAAGTAAAAACACAAAAGCATAAGTAGGAAAATATATGTGCACACTCACTCGCGCATTCACAAAAACACACCCACATACATACGCAAACCCATTCACTCACTCCAATACATATATACCCACATACATTATTTATACATACACACCCGCATACATACACATTCGCATACATACATACATATACACATATTTTCACACACATACACACAAACAGACACACACAGACACACACAGTCACGCAGACATAAACACACAGACACGCACACACAGCCAAACACACATACAAACATACATACAAACACACAGACACACACACAGACAAACATCCACCGACACACACACTCAAAGACAAACACGCAACTAACACACAGACACACACTCAGTGACACACATACACACACTGATGCACCCACACTCATAGGCATGCGCGCAGCCACACACAGACAGGAGCACACATAGACACACACACGCAGCCACATACAGACACACTAACACAGACACACACACTTAAGGACACAAAGGCAACCACACACAGAAACAAACACGGACACACACAGACACACATGCGAACACACATACATACACACACACAAAGTCACACATACAGACAGAAACACGCAGAGACACACACAGACACACACCGACACACACAGACACACTTGCGAACACACATACATACACACACAAAGCCACACATATAGGCAGAAACACACACAAAGAGACACACAGACATACATGTAGAAACAAACACACAAAGACACACATAAAGACACACACAGACACATTTAGACATACGCAGTCACACACAGACACAGATACAGACACACACATAGACACACTAACAGAAATACACACAGACACGCACACAGAAACACAAACAGACATGCACACAGACACCACACGCACCACACGCACACAAACTTATACAATTATCAATACACTCACAGAATCATATATACACAAACACGCCTACAAGGGATAATTTCACACAAATACAGGCGTAAATACATTTCATACGCACCTTATTTGATTATAAATTGATAATGCAATATGGAATATTAACTACATTTAAGGTGCCATACAATCACTTCTAAGGATGGATTCAAACAGTTTGCAGTTAACTGTATAGAAACTTTCAGTAATTTTCAACTCATGTGGAAGATGGTTCCATAAATGTGCAGCAGAATATGCTAAACTTGTTTTATATATGTCTAATGTAGGTTCAGGCAAATCTTAGTCGCTTGCTATTTGTTGGATTGGACTTCATCAGCTTGAAAAGGTTGATTGGAGTATTCTGAGATAGAATTTTCTAAATGAATTCGGCCTTGCCTGTAGATCCATATCAGGGTACTATGTCCACACAAAGGTAGTAGGTCCACACCAGAGTACCAGGTCCACATCAGGATACTAGATCCATATTGGGGGTACTAGGTCTACATTAAGGGTACTAGGTCGACATTAAAAGTACTAGGTCCACATTGAGGGTACTCGATCCACATCAGGGTAGTAGGTCCACATCAGGACAATAGATCAACATTAAGGGTACTAGGTCCACATTAAGAGTACTAGGTCCACATTGAGGGTCGGTGTAGTAGGTCCACATAAGGACACTAGATCCACATCAAGGGTACTAGGTGCACATGAGGGTACTAGGTCTTCACCGGGGTACTAGGAGCGCCTGAGTATAATAGGTCCACATAAGGACACTATATCTACACGAGGGTACTATGTCCTAATCAGGGTACTAGGTGCACATTAGTGTATTAGGTCAGCATCAGGACACTATATCCACACGGGGGGTACTAGGTCCTCATCAGGGTACTAGATTCACATGACAATCGTTATCGAGTACCTAAAGTAAGTCGTTTCGGTGACCAACTCTGTAATCTACACAGATCGCATAGCTTTCGCGTGGTTTACAAATCGTTTTATTTTTGCGCGTCCTACTCTGATTACAAAGGCTAAACGTAGACACGACAACATCAATAACTCTCAATTGCGAAGTTATTCCAGTGTCTACTAATCTAAGTCGCCTAGATTCCACAATATAGAAATCTCTAAAGTACGTAAAATTAAAATGACTACAACTCAAAATCACGAAGACATCACAGTCTACAAGCATGGGCTTATGTAAGCTTCTCTTTGAAGTATTCAGTCGTCCCCATGTGGGATGCAATTTTTTTTTATTCAAGCCCCATTTGAACCTGAACATAGCCGGGGCATAGATATGGTCTAGCCATAGATATGACCTAACGGCTGAAAGGGGTTTCTGGGACCTCTCCATGGGTGATCCTCGTCCGGTTGTGGCACTTCGTTTCACTGGGTGTTCATCGCTAGTGTGATGTCCTGGTAGGGTAACAAAAAGAAATCAGTCAGTTATGTTTCTCTTAGTCTACAATTTAGGATTACGTTGTTTCGACATTGCCTGATATTCATTGGAGGAACTGAATCCTCTTTCTAACGCTTCCTAACATAACGAAACTACATATGACTTGAATTTTTTTGTTTTTGTTGCAAAGTCAGAAGAAGGCTTATGGCATTCGTCTTCATGCACAGTAAACAAACACAGGCAGTATGTCAGATACCAGAATAAAGAAGACGAGATGGATTTTAATCTATATTTTTTTGCCACACACACACAAGCGCACGCACGCACGCAAACGCACGTAAACACACACACACACACACTGTAGTCATTGAACGATACAATGCCCGTGTTCATCCCTGATTGTTTGGGCTAACAGTGAGCTGAAATTCTAGTATTGGACCCTTAGTGTTGGCACATCTGATTCATGTAAGCTGCTTAAAAACAGCTTCAGTCCCTTGAGGTACACATTTTTACTTTGCACATGCAAGCTTCAAGATTTTGCTAGGACTGACAAGTGTTTCATCAGTTTTCAAATTGGATCGTACAAGAAAAAAGTGTGTGATTTGCGCTGGCAAAGAAACGGATTAGTATAGGGAAGTCGCGTCTACAGTGATGTAAAACTTCGACAAACGATTTACTACATACACACGCTCATGAGTGTATAAATATATATATATATATATATATATATATATATATATATATAGTCTGATGTTTATGCATACCCATATTGAGACTTGTGGTTGTTTATTAGGGGATAACGATCAATTCGTTATTTTAAAAAAAGTTTATTTAAAGATGTGCACAAACAAGACATAACTGATGCAGGCATTGAGGTTGATTCGTAAGAAAATCATGCTATAAAGCGTGTGGCATGAAGAGCATTTATTTTGGGAAAGTGTAGAAAGGCGATAATGAAAATATAGGTAGGTTATGCGCTGAATGTCTGAAAAGACACACTTCAAATGCATATCATGCAAGCTAAGTGCTAAAATCACTTTCACTTTTTGTGTGAGAGATGTTTCTTCACCTCAGTGGTCTTTGTCAGCGACCCTCGGGTTCATAACTAAAGAGAATTGACGTGGCTTAGTGCAACAAAGCCTGGCATATAATATCACGACGCCTATGCAACAAAGCCTGGCATATGATATCACGACGCCTATGCAACAAAGCCTGGCATATAATATCACGACGCCTATGCAACAAAGCCTGACATATAATATCACGACGCTTATTTTGAGAATGGTGATTGAGGCAGTCACTGCTGCTTTCAGCTGGCTTGAGAACCAGCTGTGCACGGATGTCGTAAGTGACTCACAGAGTATGTTGAGAACCAGCTGTGCACGGATGTCGTAAGTGACTCACAGAGTATGTTGAGAACCAGCTGTGCACGGATGTCGTCAGTGACTCACAGAGTATGTTGAGACCCAGTTGTGCACGGATGTCGTCAGTGACTCACAGAGTATGTTGAGAACCAGCTGTGCACGGATGTCGTAAGTGACTCACAGAGTATGTTGAGAACCAGCTGTGCACGGATGTCGTAAGTGACTCACTCACAGAGTATGTTGAGAAAAGTGGGGGAAATGTTTGCTTTTTGCAAAATGGCAAGCATCGTTTCGGAGTTTCTGGGTAGTTAGCGTCCATTTGATATTTTCCCCAAGTTATCCTGGTGAAACGATCAAGCAGATACACTGACCGGTTCTGTGTAACTTGGTTTTGAATCGATACATGACAAGATAGATGTTGTGAGGGCTCTTTGGGAGCCGGTAAAACGTGAGGAGGCTCAAACAGATGTTTATGGTCTAAGGAGATTGGCGTTGCGGGGAGTTACCAGGGGATCTAGCCTACCCTCGACGCTCAAGAGAAAGGCTATACGGATATGAAAAAATAAACAGATACTAGTACCATGGGAACTGAAACTCATATCTTGCTGCTTAAGACGGAGACGGAGCGCTTATTGGAGTGTACTGGGTGCTGTGATTCTTAATTAAAAATTTAAAAAAAAATACATGTCGGCATCTCCATGTGTTCCGGTTGTCATCAACAGTATAGCATTATCGTCTGAACAGGGAGAACGTTTCGAAATATCCACAACTGGGATATTTATATCAGTGGCAGCAGTAGTAGTGGTAAAAACAATGCTAAAAGTAGCAGTAGTATTATTAGTAGTAGCAATAGCAGCATCAACAACACCAGAAGCAGTCTCATCAATAGTAGTAGTAAAGGTTAAACTATAAGTACTTAATCTGTTCACTCTACCGACTCTGGTAGATTACTTGCAATAGAATGACCAATTTTCTCAGACAGTTGATCCCAAAAATGCTGTCTGACTTCATCGCTTGTTTCTGTTTCTGGTGGGAATTCCATGTAGTTATTTCGGTTCATGATCATCAACAGATCGTAACTTTTAGACATTTCGTCGTCTGGTAACGGCCTGTACACACACAAATAGAGAACTGATCTCTTCTGGTAGATCTCCTCCATCAACGCCATCTTGACACAGTATTCAGAAAACCGCTTGTCGTAGAAGTCTGGAGAGAGAATCAGTAAAGTCTTCCTGCTGTTCTGTATGGCGCTAACGATGGCCGACAGATAATATGTCCCCGGCAGAAAGTCCCGGTCATCCACACACAGTTTGTGTCCTCTTTTCACCTCCAGCTCTCGCAGACAGTCGCTAACTACAAACTGGCGAGACATCTCGCTGTACACAACGAATCCGTCAAATCTGAATTCTGAACTGTCATTGCCTTGGGGTTGGAACCCTACAAACCTCGACAACGCGATGTTACGGATATACCTCAACTGCCATCTGTAGCGATACAGGACACCAAACACAACAAGAAAACAAATTACAACCAGCGTCGCCACACAGACAACTATAATAAGATCGTTGCCTACACATTGTCGTTGTAAGGATCTGACCCGATCGTCAATGTTTCCCATGTCTTCGGTTATACCATTATCTCCAGCACAGCTAAGAAAATCCTTGCTGACAAAGTGAATATTTGACGTCAAGATCCAACTTAGCATCCCTAGCCCCTCACATGTACAACTTAGAGGATTTGATGTCAGCTCAATATACAGTGGGTGGTTGGCTGTGATAGCATCTAGCTCATCGCGGCTACTTTTGCTTATCCCTGTTATGGCGTTTTTTCTCAGATCCATGTACTCCAACTTTGGTGTATTGGAAAAGTTTGTGTTGAGGAGTCGAAGTCTGTTGCTTGTCATTATTAAATATTTCAGATTTTGCAAACCCCGGAAAAGATTTGTGGGCAGTTCGTAAATCAGATTGCTTGATATATCGAGAAAAATTAATTTTTGCATTCTCTGAAAAATGCGACTGTCTGTGCTGGAGAATCTATCACCGAGAAGGTTGTTGCTGAGAAACAAATAAATCAACGTGTTGTCTCGATGAACTGTATGTCTTTGCATGTGTCTAATATATTTACCACTGAAAACTGCTATCTGAATGGATGATGGAATGCTAGGTTTCAGAGACAATGAAGACAAGGCACAGTATGAGAGGTCTATATACGCGAGGTTTGTGTGCTTGTTTGCTCTAATGCTCCGATACAGTCTGAAGACGTCTATCTCCAAGAATCCAGGTGCTAGAAGTGTATGAAGCGCGGTGTTGTTGTCTAGACTGGGTAGACGTGACTCCATTGAATGAAACACGAAGGTGCTAATACTGACATTGTCTTTGTATTGGGTACTGCTGTATTGTTGTCTACAGTCAGGAGCGTCTTCTGGAATCTCTAGTGCGTACAATAATCGTTTGTTTACCCCGTCTTGGGGTTCTAATAAATTCCGATTCCAAAGTTCTTTGGTTTTATGTGTATCACTCCTCTTTTGGTTCTTGTCATCAGTCTTTGCTAACCTACTGAGGGTTTGCTTCTGTCCTGACCCATCCCTAGCATCAAACTGGGATATTTTATTGCTAGCCTTCATCTTGGATACTTTCCCAAGTTGCTGGGCTTGGGATATCCCACTGCTTGATACAAGATCTGTGTAGACTCCTAAATCTATGGTCTCTAGGTTTCGTAGAAAATGCAGTTTGTCTGTGAGTAAGGCGGGCTCGGTCAGCTCGTTCCCGCGCAACGCAAGAGTCCTGAGTGTGCGCGGGAAAGCATTGATGAACCCCGTTTCTATGTATGCTATCCGATTTTCTGATAAATCTATGATCTCCAAATCTATGGTGCTCAAATACCTAGCATGACGCCCGAATAAGCAAATAAAAGGACACCCAGATTTGATAAGATTAATCAACTTCAAAGATATCAGTGATGAATTCTGCAGTCCGCTAAGTCCACCCAGTGCTTTAAATATATCGTACGGGTATGTAGAAATAAATTCCAACGATTTCAGAGCCCTTACATTCTTGTAAACATTGTCATCCACTGTTGTAATGGGACATTTAGAGAAACGAAGCGTCTGTAGGTAGGGAACATTTTCCAAGAACGATTCTTTGATGTGTCCAAGCTGGCAATGGTTTGGATTTGACAGACCCACGTGGAGTGTAACCAACTTTGTCAGATTTTTTATGTCTGGACCGAGAATGACATGTTTCGAGATGGCATCAATAGACAGGAAAGTTAGATTGGTCAGTCTTCCTATTTCTTCGTTAGGATATCTCTTGGTCAGAACCGTATCACCATTAATATAAAGTTTTTGTAAGTAAACAAGATTTGAAAACACACCTGGCATGAATGATGCATTAAGGCAATTTCTACTGAGATCCAAGACTTTCAGGTTCTTTAAGTGATCGAATGCGCCTTTTATCAAAACAGATACACGATTTCGCACTAAATTTAGGTACTCTAAATTAGTTAAACCTTCAAATGTCAGTGTAGTAATAATTTCAACTTGATTGCCTTGCAGACTAAGACTTTGTAAATTCGAGAACATAGTAAAGCTTCTATCCATAATTTGTGTAATTTTGTTAGAGGTTAAATTTAAACTTGTAACAGTCAACATTTGGATCTTCTCTGAAATATTGGCGATCATATTCAGGGCTGCGTTATGTGTGACTGATAAGTTATACAGGTTGTGATACTGAAGAAAATCTGTTGCTTGGAATACTTTTAATGAAGAGTTGGAGATGGTTAGCTGCTGTGTTTCCTTGGATAGATCTTCGTTGATCTCATGAATTGAAGAGTTACAGGACGCTATAAGACTTCCTGAGAATGTGTAGTAGCACTGACAAGGCGGACAGCGGAATTCATCCCTGTACTTGGCCTGAAGAAAGTCAGTTAGTTCGTGTATTTTTGATCCTTCAGGGAAGACGTCCTGGTGAAACTCTGCAGCATTATTAATCAGACTGTGAAGTATAGGACTAGATAATTCTTTGTTCCTGTGAGGCAAATTCGTGCTCACATGCTTGACGTTTCCACTGAACACTGTTTTTAGTTCATCGTGTTTCTGAAAAAACGTTGAATGTTTTACTGGGTTTCTTGGTGTTGACTGCAAGTGCAATACAACCGTATCTGCTTGCGTTATGGAGTGTGTGTCCTCAGGTAAGTGGGTTCCAGGACCTGCCATAGCTGTGACATTGTTTTGTCTGTTGCGAGATCCTCTGGCAGAGATACAAGCGGGATCAAGGCAGTTGGACAGATACAAGAGGCAAAACAGGAAATTCCAAGTGCACTTAGTGCTGCCCATTCTGTAGTAGAGAAGAAAACAAATTATATACCATAAACAATGTTCATAAAAACGATATTGACACTCCAGGTGTGAGACTAAGATATCAAACATGCTCTTTATGTTTAATCCTGAATTACATACTTAGTTTTAGTTTTTGATAAACTCCAATACCCTTGCTTTGAGTTCGAATCCTCACCGCAACAAATTAGAAATTTACATTCTCCCAATTTAAATTAGTATAAATTAGTTGTCTGGAAATATCCTTGGAACAGAACGAGGTCGACATGATTTTAACTGCATCGCCTATAGAGTGGGATTGTAGGTCTACAAAACAAAAAATATGGTTCATGTGTTCCACGCGTCTAAGATGTTTTCTCTACTTTATTTATCAATCATATACATGGTGGATGTTATTCCCTATTGGCTTGAAAAGCTTTTGAACTGAAATGTGACAGACAGATTCTTAGAACATTCTGAACCAGGAAGAGGACAACCTACATGATATTGGGGATGACTGGCTCATAATCCACACCCTATACCAATAGTTGTTTTTTTTTTAAATAAGTCATGTTATAGGTCAGGGGAGTTGTGGAGAACGGTGATATATGTTTATGACAGTACTTGGGATAATTACTCTGCGAAGACTCAAGATCCTAGGAGACCAGGTTTACCCAGAGTCCCAGTGGCTTTCGTTGGAACCGGTCTACCACTGATATAATATTTTAATTACGACAGTTGTATCATGTATCAACCAGCACCAGGCAAAGTGTATACTGAACCAACCGTTCTAGTAAATGGCAAGAAATTAAAAGTTCTAGATAGATTCACACACCTCGGTGGTACCTTGTCTTGGAATGTCACTGTCGACGATAAGGTGAGCACTAGGATCTCTAAAGCCAGCTGCACATTTGGCAGGTTATACACAAAAGTCTGGCATCGTAGTGGCATCAGTCTGCAAACCAAACTGAAAGTATATAGATATGCTGTACTTGCAATGCTACTTTATGCCTGTGATACTTGGACTGTATGCAGACGTCAGGCAAAAAAATCTCAGCCATTTCCATAGAGTCTGTCTGAGAAAGATACTGTACATTAACTGGCAAGACATGGTCAGGGACATAGTGGTACTGGACAGAGCTGGCATTCCCAGCATCAATACCACCCTGATGCAGTCACAGATTCGAGCTGGCCATATTGTTTGAATTCTTCATCATCGCCTCCCAAAAATATTACTCTGTGGTGAGGTACATGCAGGTCGATGTTTTCATGGGAGCCAGAAAAATAAAACTGCACGAACAGATTACAAGCATCACTGTAAGCCTTCAGTATAAACCCTGACACATCGGAGGCTGCAGCGCAAAACCCGACTTTATGGTCACATGTATCCCAAAAGATTCAATGATCTGAGAGGCATCTAGAACAAGGGTAGCTGAACATAGACAGGTCAGAAATAACCGACAAACAGGCCCTTTGTCTACAGACACTGTGCCCTGCCCTCATTGTCCTAGATTCTTCCGGGCACGTACTGGAATTAGGAGTCAAACCTGGACTCACAAATCTTCACCCGCCTGCAGTTTCATGACACATGAAAGAAAGAGTGGTCCTCGTCACTTGTGATGGACGAACGAACGACAGTTGCAGGAAAAATGCAATGAACAAAATCAATCACTGTATGTTGTTTTTATTGATCTTACCAAGGCATTTGCTTTGGTTAGTCGAAAAGGTCTGTTTACCTGCTAACACACTGAAGAAGATTTGAGATCCATCTACCAATCCAAGGATTACTGAGTGGTTCCACACAGGTATGAAAGGTACAATCAATTTTTACGGTGTGACATCGGAGAAATTTATAATCAACTGTTGACTGAAGCAGGAATATGTGCTTGCTTCTACCCTCTTTAGAATATACTTCTCTCTTATTTTGAAACATGCCTTTCGAGATAAGGAGGGAGGTATATTCATCCTTTCTCTATCTGGCGCCAGTCTTTACAGTGCTCGAAGGATGGGAGCAAAAGATTCATGCTGTGAATTTGGACCAATAATCAGCAAAAAGAAGACAGATTTTATGATGCAAGCTGTTAATGACAGACCTGCAATCTAAACTGATGGTGGACAATTTGCATTTTTTTTTACATGAGGGCAAAATAAAATCCTCATCTGCACTGTCGTGGCGACAGCACTAGCCATGTGGCCCTTAACACTAAAAAAAAAATTACAGGTATGTGGGTAAACCAGTTGATGATTAAATTTGACCATTTCGCATACTTATGATTTCATTTCAAACTTTCTGATTACATGGTTACGCTGAATTTCCATAGATTTCCATTTAGATTTAATTATTTCATCTGCGTTGGAATTTTAAGCTGTGCTGTTTACCATAGCGTTCATTTCCTAATTATGGTGTATTTTTCCTGATTTTATTGCTTTTCACTTGGTTTTATTTTCTCCCAACTGCTTCGATGAGGGAAAGATAGTCGGTGAATTGGGAAAAAAAAGAGGGGGGGGCACAAACTGTTTACTGAGAGAGTTTTAAGTCACAGTAACTGCCTTACCCACTCAAAGTAGCAGCAGCAGTAGTAGTTTTTGTTGGGCGGTTACATCGTAGTGCTGTCATGCCAGAGACCGCCGGTAAGGTTATGGCGTTCTTCTGTCAGGGAGTGTTTGTGTTTTGAAAAAAAATTCTGACTTCTGGTAACAAATTCTTGGGAAAAAAAATTAAGGAGAAAAATTTTTTTTTTTAAAGAGACGCCCCTGACATCTTGGAAAAATTCGCCATATTGGGAACAATTTCGAAAAAATCTGACCCAGATTTTTTACCCTTTCAACTTCCTGAGGAGGGCTAGGCAGCCAGTGTCCAGTGTCCGATGGCCAGTGTCCACCACCCCACCAGTGTCCAGTTGCCAGTGTCCAGTATAATCAGTTTGTACATCAAGAAGAGGGAGAAAGCAGTAGTCGGTGGCGGGGGAAGGGGAGGGGGTGATGACTGAAATTGTTAACTCAAAGAGCTTCTTAACACATGATTTTAAAGTTCTCATTACCTAATTTGTTTATATTTTACTAACGCTACCTCCGCTAATCTATTTTTTTTACGACTTTTTTTTTTTTTTTTTTTGTTATTTACAAGTACAGTAGTAAGCTTTACTTCCGTCTCCTATACATATACAAACAGCTTTAGCATGTGATAACCAAATAACCATTTCTGTTACTGTGCTAATAACACCAAATCAGTAAATGACAAAGGAAATTTCGGAAGAGCAGAAGTTGTACTGATGCAATATTCACACTAAGACAATTAGTGGAAAGGACGGTAGAATTCGATAAAGAATTACACGTCGCATTCGTAGACCAAGAGAAAGCTTTTGATCCAGTTAATATGAATAAATTTTGGAAGGTACTACAGGATTATAGAGTAAACGAATACCTTATTAAATAGTGCAAGAATTATATGCGCAGTTAAAACAAATACAGAAATGTCAGAAAAATTCTACATTATATCTGAAGGGGTGCGTTCTGTCACAAGAGCTGTTCATCTCATACGTGGACTAGATTTGCAGATATGCTAACACCAGCGAAGGTGACATCATAATCAATTAGCAAATAAAAAGGACCCTTTTTAGGGCAAATTAGGTATATAAGGCTAGATATAGATGTTATAGACCAACGGCACAAGATGTGTGATGTGATCAGCACTTCGCCGACCGCCTTTACTTCCCAGTACTACACCTGGTACCCACTTAAGGCTGGGTCGACCCCGAAACCAGGGTCATATAAAAAAAAAGTCTGGCTCCTCCGGAGACCGAACCAACGACCTTCCGATCCGCTGGCGAGCGTCTAGCCACACGGCATTGGCGACTCCCCCTTCATATACATAAAGAATTGTATTCACTATTAGCTTGTCAAGCTTTTGAATTGAAATCCTACAGGAGGGCTCCTAGAATACCTGTGAACAAGAAGAAGACGACGTCGACGATGTATTGGCTCTAGAAGCGCATAAGGCTGAACTACTTGTCACAGAAAGAGAGATTTCTAGATGTGCCATTAGGAGAATGGCATTCTATGGAGAATCTGCTGATTAATTATAGTTATTCACTCGTCATGCATAACCGCGATGGACATAGACACATTCACACACATACCTATTAACAAACAATTATCTGCATTTACCATACTAACTAACACGCATACAAACACATTCACACACAAACACATTAACAAACAATTATTGGAGACGATACGATGTACAAAATATCTGTGATCTGGAACAGCGAAATAGATATTCATATAAACTTTAAGCCTTAACACAGTTAATGAATACATATTGGGAAAAGACAATTAATGTTAGTGTGATGACTCAACAAACACTGATAGAATTAAGGTGACTCAAAAAACACTCATATAATTTTGGTGACCCAACAAACACTCATATAATTTTAGTGACTCAAGAAACTCTCAAATAATTATGGTGACCCAACAAACGCTCATATAATTATCGTGAATCAAAAAACACTCATATAATTATTGACCTGTCAGTAACTTCGTGCTAGATTCCAGAACAAATCTTCCAGGAGTGTTTTCGCGGAGCGAAGCTGTAAAACAACATGTGGCCACACCCAGTAAAATGAGGACTACGCTTTGAGGGAGGGGTCGAGGGGGGGAGGGGGGACATAAAAGACCTGCAGTTGTGGTCAAAGTTTATAGCCTATCGTGGCCTAAGTGCATGAACAAGAGATCGCTAAAAAAGAAGAATGAGTGGTGAATAGCAATTTAAAAATCACTTACTTGTTCAAGGTCGAAGTAATTCAACGAAATCTCTTCCGAAGGCTCTAGGTCAACGCAAGCTGCAGTCTGAAGCAGGAGGAAACAAAAAAAGATAATAACTTTGGTAAACGAGAATTTCC